TTCTTTAGATTATTATGAGTCTATCAGAGAGATGAAGAATCAAGAGTTCAAATATTGTTTCAGTGAACAAAACCAGGAAGTTCCCCTTTGATGCCACTTCCTGTTTCACTTTGGCTGAGCCATCTTCAAAAGAAAATATGCCAGTTATATGACAAAATGGTTAAAATCCTGTTTTATGTCAAGTTTCATAAATATAAAGATATTTTCTTTTCTTTTCTTTTTTGAATGATATGCACGTCACAGGAACTTTAATTTGTTAGTTATTTTTTCCTCCTCAGATCGCCTCCCTGCAGAAAGGAGGAGACAGTTTCCCGCTCACGGCCGCCCCYGGCAAAGTCCTGGGAAAGGTGCCGCAAACGACACYAAAACGTCTCCCGCCTCGTTAAYCGTCTGATTATTTCAGAACGGCAGGAAGTTGAACGATGTTTGTCTTTACATCCAGGCGCTGAGGAGCTCCGACAAGAGCTCCAAACCAGTTTATGTTTCTGTGGGTCACAAGATCAGCCTGGACACCGCCGTCCGCCTCACACACTCCTGCTGCCGCTACAGAGTACCTGAGCCCATCCGACAGGTACACACACACACACACACACACACACACACACACACACAGCTGTAACACGAGCTGAATGGCAGCAGCGTGAGACCTGCAGGACTCATAGGAGTCTGGGACGTGTGCAAACATTATTTAAAGTTAGTGCTGTTTGAGCTCRAAAAATCACAGATTCTCATCYTGAGTCAAAGAGGAACACAATCAGATGATAATGTTGGAAGAATGAGCTCAAAGCTCATTTAGTGAACCCATATCTCCTGCCAGCTTTCAGAGGTTTAACAAAAAACACTTGTGCTGAGAGAAGACAGTCAGATCTTCTCCTTCAGCTGCTGATCCGTGGCACGTTCTGCCCTCCAGACCCCCGGTCCCTCTGGGGACCTCGAGTTCTGAAGAGGTTGTGGACTCTGGTTGTTGGTTTGTGGACTCTGTTGCTCCTGAGTTCACGTCTGGCTGCTTCAGCCTGAGGTTTCCAACAGGCCGAACGTCTGGAACAGAAACTGATGAATTCACCTGACCAACACCGACACCTGCATCTGTTTTTGTCTTCTGCCACGCCCAGTTTTAGCTCTGCTTCTGGAAAAGCTGAATGTTCTAGTAGCTGTGTGAGAGTCCCTTTGGTTTACAGAGAAGAGAATCATCCATGCAGACTGACTCYGAGCCCCTCCTGTGTCGGATCGAGCAGTTGACTGATTTAGAGCAGAGCTCACCTTTGGGCCCTGAGGCAGTCTGAGTGTTAATATATGTCTGTCTGACATTCTGCTGCTGCTGGACGCTCCGCAGAGACTGGAGGGACGGGGAGGAGTAGCCACGGGGTGGAGGGGACAGAGAGGAATAAAGTGATGAAAGGATACTCCTGGGAAGATGATCTCCAGTGAGAAGAAACATCAACAGAAGGATGATAAAGAGAGAGAGGGGGCATGTGGGAGTAACTGTTGGGCTTCAGGGTCTTAAACAACCTGCCNGTGTGACTGGAGTCAGCTTGATTCAAGATGGCCGCCACAACCACTTGACCCTGGGAAACAAAAAAAGGCCGAAATTCACTTTTACAAATATTGAGCTAAAATTTGATGTGGTAGTAGCTTAGCTTAACTTTAACCCTTCTGTCAGTCTTAACATCTTTATTCATTTTATTTTGAAGTTATAGAAATACAAAACATAAAAATACATAAAGAAGCTGAAACTGAGATGTTAAAGCTAAAAGAAGCTTAAATGATCAAAGCAGTTAAAAACTAAAATCAGCTGGTTGTAGCTAAAAGCTGAAATTAGCAGAACAAATCGCAAAACAAGTCAAAATTAGCTAAATAAGTAGCTAAAAGCTGAACTTTGTAAAACTGTACCTAAAAGCTAAAACTAGCTAAATAAGTAGCTAAAAGCTAAACTTTGTAAAACTGTACCTAAAAGCTAAAATCAGCAGCCCAGTAGCCAAAAGCTAAAATAACAACGAGCAAAACAGAAGCCAAAATGAGCAAAACTATGAGCTAAAAGCTAAA